CACCCACCCTTTGCTGAGTGTGTACCAGTCACTCCTCTGGGCACTGAGCACCCAGGAGTAAACATGTCTACCCTTGTGGATCTTAAATTCTTCCAACAGAAGATGATAAATCTTCCATCAGAAACAGAAAACAAGTAAAATATATAGGGAGACTTAACTTGGGGTGGTGAAGAACACCCAGTACAATATATAGATGATGTATTATAGAATTGTACACCTGAAACTATGTAATTTTATTAACCAATGTCACCCCAATAAATTCAATAAAAGAGAAAATATTTTTTACAATTTAAAAATCAAAACTGGTTAGATGAAAAAATTTTTTAATATACATAAAATATAAAATATATAGGATATCAGAGAATGAAAAATGCTATGAAAAAAATCAAGCAGAGAAGAAGGAAAGGGACTATAGGGGTATATACATATATTTTTTTTCTCCTGACTTTTTATTTTGAAAATGTTTAAAGAACAGTACAATGAATTCCCTATACACTGCACTTAGATTCACCAGTTGTTAACATTTGATTTATCTCTACACACACACACACACACACACACATTGTTTTTTTGTTTGTTTGTTGCTGATCCATTTGAAAATAAGATGTAGATCTCATGACTCTTCACCCCTAAATATGTCAGCACTTATCTCTCAAGAACAAGGATAGGCTCCTATATTAGTATTACTATTATTATACCTATAAAACCTATAATAATAAAAGTGTACTATGCTAATTAGACCAGATGTCCTTCCGGACAAAGCCGGGCTGCAAGGGAAGCCCGGATCCTGGGTGCTGGAGGGAAGCCAGTGCTGGCAGCCGCGGGAAGGAAGGCCTACTCTTGCACAAATTTCGTGCATCGGGCCTCTAGTTAATAATAATTCCATACTATTATTTAACAAAAAGTCTATATTCTAATTGCCCCAAATTATCTTTTATACCTATAGAGTATGCATTTTCCTATTCAAGATTCAGTCAGTGTTCATTCGTTGCATTTGGTTGTTATACCTCATTAGTCTCTTTTGATCTAGAATCCTAGGATAGTTTTGACGGTAGAACCAGCAGCATTGCTGATTGGATGTTGAGTGTGAGGGAAATAGAGGGTGCCTAGTCTTCGGTCTGAGCAATGGAAGGATGCATTGTCCATGGGCAGAAATGAGGAACATGATGGCAGAAACACATTGGAGGAGAAAGATGAGAAGTTCCAATTTGGACTTTAAGTTCGGGGGGTCCGTTCTACATCATACTAGAGCTCTGAGGTTAACAGCTGAATTGGAGTCTTGAGGTGTCCATGCTGGGGACATAAAATGGGCAAATAAACAGGTTTTGATAATTGGTTGGTCAGGGAAGGCCTCTCTGAGGAGGTGCATTTGTGCAAAGACCTGCATGAAGGGAGGGGCGGGCCTCTTTTTGGAGGAAAGTGTTCCAGATGAGGGAACAACAGGTGCAAAGGCCCCGAGTCTGGACTGAGCTTGGCAAGTTAGAGGAACAGCAGGACGTCTGGTGTGTCTGCAGTGGAGTCAGCAAGGGACGGGGGGAGGAAGAGGTGAAGTCAGAGAGATCAACAGGGAATAGAGCCCGTGGAGCAGTGAGCGGTTCTCAGCCTTGTCAGACCCAATGTCCTCTTTCTCCGACCAATGCTTCCTATGCCCACTTACTCTGAAATTATATATAAAATGCAGATGTGAAACATAGCTAGATATGTACATTTTTTAGTATTTCTATTTATTTTTTTTAGAAAGACGGGAAGGGAGAGAGAGAGAAACATTGATTTGTCGTTCCCCTTATCTATGCGTTCATTGGTTGATTCTTGTATGAGCCCTGATTTGGGGGTCAAACCCGCAACCTTGGTATATCAGGATGACACTCCAACCAACTGAACTACCAGGCCATGGCTAGATCTGTAAGATTTTTTTTTAAATATGTTTTTATTGATTCCAGAGAGGAAGGGAGAGGGAGAGATAGAAACATTAATAGTGAGAGGGAATCACTGATGACCACCCCCTGCACGCTCCCAACTGGAGATGGAGCCCACAACCCGGGCATGTGCCCTGATGGGGAATCAAACTGTGAGCTCAACCACTGATCGAACTGTGATCTCACACTGGTCGGGCTGTAAGATTTTTAACAGTAAAGTACAGTTCAATGGTTTTATGATATGGAGTTGTGCACCAATCACCAGGATCCATTTTAGAACATTTCATTTCCTCAAAAAGAAATCTTGATCCCCTTAGCTATCACCCCTTAATCTGCAGCTCACCACCGCCCCCCCCCCCAGCTCTAAGCCACCACTAATCTACTTTCTTTTCTATAGATTTGCCTATTCTGAACATTCATATATAAATAGAATCATACAATATATGGTCTTTTGTGCCTGGCTTCGTTCACATAGCAGGTGTTCTAGATTCATCCATGTTGTAACCTATATCAATACTTCACTCATTGAAATTGATTGCCAAATAATAGTCTGTTGTGCAGGTGGACATTTTTCTTTATCCCATTGGACTTTTTAACTAAAGAAGAAATGAAAGTAAGGTGATTTGTCATAAAATCGGATGCATTTTAATATGTAGATGCTCAGCCAGGACCACTGTAGAAAAGATAATGAAAGGCTCATACCTAACATCGCCTGAGTGAGACAGCGGCAAACGCAGTGATCCGGAGGGTGGTATTGGGAATATAAATGATGCAAGTGGCATTACTGCTGATGTCACGGTTTTCTAAACAGATGAAAAGACTCTTGGTAAAGTTCAGAACAAAACAAAGTACAATCTTCCCTTCGTTTCCTAAGAGTTGCATGCCTGGAAATTGCAGTAGATCTTAAACCCGTGCAGAAATAAATAAATAAATACCTGGCCATTTATATGTATCGTGGTGTTCAGAGATTTATAAACAGACTTTCCACAGCATGCATGTCAGGGGGACATTCGAAAGTCAGGGAGGTGCCGTAACCGGTTTGGCTCAGTGGATAGAGCGTCGGCCTACGGACTGAAAGGTCCCAGGTTCGATTCCGGTCAAGGGCATGTACCTTGGTTGTGGGCATATCCCCAGTGGGCGGTGTGCAGAAGGCAGCTGATTGGTGTTTCTCTCTCATCAATGTTTCTAACTCTCTATCTCTCTCCCTTCCTCTCTGTAAAAAATCAATAAAATATATTTAAAAAAAAAAAAGTCAGAGAGGATCCAGGATGAGTATTCACTGTGAGGAGCTGCCTCTCACATTGTGGGTGCAAACATCCGTGGCCCTGCCCACTGAACGCCCATATCTGCCCCTAGTCATTGCCACCACCAAAACGGCTCCCACAGATTCCCAGGTACCCCCAGGGTCTGGCTTGGGGGTGGAGAGGAGAGGCAGAGGTGAGAGAGAGAGCTTCAGGGGCTAGAATCCACAGGTCTGAGGAGGCGTGGGAAGGATTGGGAAGGAGGAATTTGTGTGTAGACATCCTCTTGGAGACGTGAAAGGAGACCTTTCGTTGTGAAATATCCCCGCTGGGATTCAGATTCATCAATTTCGTGGCTGCAGAGGATGGGCTGCGTTGCCAGCTGGGAGAGGGGACCACCATGGTCATGTGACCGGTTCTCTCCCTGCCTTCTCGGGCGTAAGGGTTCGCTGCCTTCATTTTACAGAGCAGACACCTGTGTTAGATCGCGAGGGCTGCCATAGCAAAGCCCCGAAGACTCGATGGCTTAAACAACGGAAATTCATTTTCTTACAGTCCCGGAGGCCGGAAGTCCAAGTTCAAGGAGTCAGCATGTCTGACTTCCGCTGAGGCCTCTCTCCTTGACCTGGAGCTGGTCTTTCCTCCGTGTGTGTTTGTGTCCTAACCTCCTCTTCTTGTAAGGACACCAGTCATAGTGGATCAGCGCCCCCATGACCTTGCTTAGCCTTAATCACCTTTTTAAAGGCCTCATCTCCAAACACAGTCACTGAGGTAGTGAGGGTGAGACCGTCACATATGAATGGGGGGGTGGGGAGAGGGGAGAGGGAGGAACAATTAGGCCCATAACGACAACAAAGAGGTTAAGCAGGTGACCATGTCTTAGGGTGGGAAGCCCAATGGAGCGGGAATCCATGAGGCTGAATTGCAGCTCCTTCGCTATCTGGGTGACCTGGGGACAAGTCCCTTCCCCTCTTAGGCCTCAAGTGGCCCATCTGTAAAGTGAGACTAATGATGCCTTTTCTGGGGCTCAGGAGACTTTGTTTTTTTTTTTAATTGATTTCAGAGAGGAAGGGAGAGGGAGAGGGAGATTGAAACATCAGTGATGAGAGAGAATCATTGATTGGTTGCCTCTTGCACGTCCCCTACTGGGGATCGAGCCCGCAAACCGGGCATGTGCCCCTAATGGGAATCGAACTGAGACCCTTCGGTCCGCAGGCCATCGCTCTATCCACTGAGCCACACCGGCTTGGGCTCAGGAGACTTGTAATGATAGAGAAGGAAGGGCGTGGGCACCACGGCAAGCTTGGAGCGGAGTCCTGGGGGGCCCCACGGGGTCAGCCACGAAGCCTTCAAGGTGCTGGATGGAAAGGAGGTCCCAGCGGACCTAGGGGCATGGGACAGGGTGGCCGAGAGGCCACGGAGGGGACTTGGGTTACCAGCTCTTTTTTAACTAATAGGGAAGCATTCCGATATATTTCCTCTGACTTTCAGAGCGAGTGGAAGGGAGGAGGGGGAAAGAGAGGAAGAAACATACATGTGAGAGAAACACATCGATTGGTTGCCTCCCGCAGGCGCCCCAACCGGAGCCGGGATTGAACCTGCAACCCAGGTCCATGCCCTTGACGGGGAATCGAACCCTCCACCCTGCGGTCCACAGGCCGACGCTCTATCCATTGAGCACACTGGCCAGGGCCCCGGTATTTTTTAACAACCAGCAGGACCTACCGGCGCCTCTCACGGGGGCCTGATTTGGGACACTTGAGAGCAGAGGTGGGGGTGACACTGCTGTTAGTGTTCAGGCTGCAATGACCACCCTAACGACCCTCCCGCTCGCTCCTCGCAGGCCAAGCTGATTGTCCCCAACAGCACAGCGGGCCTGATCATCGGCAAGGGAGGCGCCACGGTGAAAGCCGTGATGGAACAGTCGGGGGCCTGGGTGCAGCTGTCCCAGAAGCCGGAGGGCATCAACCTGCAGGAGCGCGTGGTGACGGTCAGCGGCGAGCCCGAGCAGGTGCACAAGGCCGTGAGCGCCATCGTGCAGAAGGTACAGGAAGACCCCCAGAGCAGCAGCTGCCTCAACATCAGCTACGCCAACGTGGCTGGCCCCGTGGCCAACTCCAACCCCACCGGCTCACCGTACGCCAGCCCCGCGG